CGTGTTTATTTATTAAAAGGTTGGATAGTTAAAGTGCTTGTTTGTGCACTATGAAAGTTGGAGGTCAAAGTTAAAATTTGAAGCCAAGTTTAAGGTCCAATATATGTATTATGCCTTTAAAATATGTGGTGTTTTTTTTATATTTTGTTTCAAAACAACTAGTATTTGATTAATACCCTTAATTCAATAAAGTTTCATATAGTCAAGAAATTATCAAAAAGAGCTACATTTTTTTCAAGCTGTTTATTAAAGGCAAGCTAGTAAAAATATGTTTTACTTTCACTAGTTTTCTTAAAAGGTGTGTTCAAACTAAATATACCATTTATTTTGAAATAGATGGAGCACTACAAAGTTATAAAAGGGTGAAAGAATAGAAATGACATTCCACTTGTAGAATTACACAAAGTATGTTATTATTGTTATTGTTGTTGTGCATAGCTTGTAATCCCTTAAACTTTTCATGATATTCCATTTAGACACTCAAACTAAGCCATGTTCCAATTGAAAATTTCAATACCTAATAAATTAATGTTCCAATTACATACTTTCAGTTCAAATTTTGAATATTTTGTGTGTATTCTCATTTGTTTAGGTAGTTAAGTTAGCCACATAAAATATGTCAGCGCCTTAAGTTATACACATCAACCTCAAGTAGAAAATATATGGAGTTTTATGGCTTGTTAAGTGGATTGCATATAATTAAAGGGAATGTCATATTTTATTTAGTTAACTTAACTCTTAATAAACGAATGAGAACACGTACAAAATAAATTTCAAAATAACCGACAATATTTAATTGCAATACTATATTAAATGTTGAGATGTTTAATTAAAATAAAATTCTGTTCGAATATCTAAATTGTTTGTTCTTACAAATTTAAGGAACAAATTGTTTTATTAACCCAATAAAAATAAAATTAAATATTATGTTGAAACACAATGAGTACAACTAATATGATGATATGTTACTAAATTTGTTGTCAATTCAATCGATTACCATTCTGCAAGGAGTTTAACTTTAATATATCGATATCACAAAGATATATTTGGGAAAATAAGATAAATCGCCCCCCCCACCCCACCCCCACCCCCCGGTCAACTATTTTTTTTAAAATCCAAAAGTTCCCCCTTTGTCAACTAAATGATTATCACATTTTTTTTAAGTTAATTTGATTATATTTTAGAATTAAATTTATAGAATTACACATAATAAATAATCTAAACTGACTAATTGGATGATGCGTAAATAAAAATTATCTTTTTATAGTGAAAGCGAAAGATTTAAGAGATTAACTTGTGTCCACTGTCAGTGAAATTCTTTTTACACTATCACTAAACTTTAAGTCACACAAAAGTTAAGTTTTTAAATTTGTTTATTTTTTATTTTATAGAATTTAAATATTAAATATAGTCGTGTAAGGCAACTAGGACTCAAAATTTATCTTATCAAATTAGTTTAGGATTCTATTTGTTGATTTACCTAAAATATTTCATCGTTATTTTTTGTTTCATTGTTCTGAAACTTGTTTCAGTTTGGTGTTGTATCTGTAATGGGAGGCCCTCAGGTATCTCTTCTGTGACACATTGCTTCCAACAAACTTAATATCTATATGCATGATGACATCGTTTTACTTTCACTAGTTTTACGTAGTAGCAATTTAAGATAGTTTGAATTTTTAAGTTATATTTAGCTTGTTAATTTAACATCCATTAACTACATGTTGCAGGAAGGATTCTCTAACTTACCTGAGGAAAATGCAGAAGACATTGGATCTTCACAAGAGGATATTCCCCATTTTGGTGATGAAGAATCGAGAGTGCCATACATCGGTATGGAGTTTCAGTCACTTGATATTGCATTTAAATTTTATCTTGATTATGCTCATTGTAGTGGTTTTAGTGTGCGCAAAAATCGAATCAATCGATCAAGAAAAGATAAATCAATAATAGGTCGAGAATTTGTTTGTTCAAAAGAAGGATTCCGCTCAAAAAAGAGTCTTGAGAAAAATATGCAACGAGATGAAACTAGAGAAGGGTTTAAAGTGTTGATATATTAGTCGAAGAAAGAAGACGAAAAGTTGGTTGTCGCTAGGCTAGTCTCAAACCATAATCATGAACTTGCTTCTCCACATAGCCAAAAATTCTTGCGATCGAAAAGGAAAAAGTCAGAAGCTCAAAAGAATCTTATTGATCTATTAGATAATTCAGGTGTTCGTCCTAGTAAAATTGCATCAATATTAATTACTTAGGCAGGGGGTGTAGAGAATCTCAATTTAACTGGACGAGACATTCAAAATTATTTGAGTACTAAAAGGCAAAAAGAATCTTGAGAAAGGAGATGTCCAATTGATGTTGAAGTACTTTCAAAAACGTCAATCTGAAAGCCAGGTTTCTTTTATGCAATACAAATGGATGTAGAAGGTCATCTAGCTAATTGCTTTTGGGTAGATGCTAGGTATAGGATAGCTTATAAGAACTTTGGGGATGTTGTCGTTTTTTATCCTACATACTTGACAAATAGATATAAGATGCCTTTTGTCCCATTTACTGGAGTTAATAACCATCATCAATCAATTTTATTTGGTCGTGCTCTTCTTTGGGATGAAACTCAAGAAACTTTTGAATGGTTACTTCGCACTTGGCTAGAGGCAATGCTCTGTGTTATGCCTCGTACAATTATCACGGATCAGGATGCTGCAATAACAAAGGCAGTTGCAAATGTGTTTCCAAATTGTGCACACCACTTTTGCATGTGGCACATTGAAAAGAAAATTCTCGAATATTTAAGTCATGTCTATCATGACTTTGATGATTTTAAAACTAAGTTTAGTAAGTGTCTACATGGTACGACCACGCCTGAGGAATTTGAAGCTACTTGGATTGATATTATGAAAAACAATAATTTAGAAGAAAATAGTTGGTTGCAAAGAATATATGCAATTCGTGAAAAATGGATTCCAACATATGTGAGAAGAAATTTTTGTGCTGGAATGTCAACAACTCAAAGAGGTGAGAGTATGAATAATTTTTTTAAGGATTATCTTAATTCTAGTACACCGATGAGTGTATTTGTAGCACAATATGATAAAGCTATTGATGCTAGGTATGATAAAATAAGGGAAAAGGAATATAAGACAAAATATTCAAAGGCTATCTTGAAGACATTGTATCCCATGGAGGATGAAGCAGCAAAGGTATATACTAGAAAAATATTTCGAAAATTTCAAGAAGCATTGATTCAGTCTCAAATATTTATTTCAGAAAAGATTGAGGTTCAGGATGGAATACATATCTATAGAGTTCATTTGTTTCAAAAACAATTGTCTGCCTACATTGTTAGATTGAACCTTATACTGAAAGATGCTACTTGTTCTTGTTGTAAGTTTGAGTTCATGGGAATCTTATGTAGGCATGTGCTTGTTGTATTTATAAAGAAACAAATTTACTCACTTCCAACATGTTATCTGTTGAATCGGTGGACAAGATACGCCACCAAAGAAAAAGTTCATGACATTTCAAATGACAAATCGCATGTGAATAATTTGAAGCCTTCCTCTATATGGTTTAATAATATTATGATGCATTCTTTTGGCCTATCTGAGCGAGCTACACGGTCTGAAAGACATTATAAATTTGCATATCAAAGATTATCCCAATTATGTGAAGAACTTGATGAACTCCCTTATGATATTGAGAATGATGATATATGTGAGGATCTAGTTAACGAGTCAAATGTGGAACTAAACACAAATGAGGAGAGACAAAACACCATTTTGATTGACCCTTTATGTGTGGTAACTAAAGGACGTCCAAATTCATTGAGAATGAGAGGTGGTCTAGAAAAATCTCTAAAGGTCAAAAAAGGCTCTAAGAAACAACATGGCAAATCAAAAGTTTAAAGAATGGTGAGGCAAAGGGCAAGGGCAAGGGCAAGGGAAAGAGCAAGGTCAATGCGAAGGGTAGAGGAATGAGGTAATCTCACTTTATATAGTGTAATAATTATTGATTAATATTTTTTGTAACTTTGATATTTGATGTATCACTACTAAAAAACTGCTAAAAAATGACGGACAGAAAAGCGACGGACGAAGTCGCTCCAAAAAGCAAGGTCATTTGCCACAATGTCCGTCGCTTTTTAATAAAAATAATTATTTTTTAAATTATTTTTCAAAAAAGCGACGGACGGCATCTCTTAGTCCGTCGCTTTTTTTGTGGATTTTTGTGCCAAATATATATATAATTAATAATTAATTGATTAATTAGTTTTTTAAAGGAGCGACGGACAACATCTCTAAGTCCGTCGCTTTTTGGTCAACATGACTGGTCAAACATTTAAGAAAAGCGACGGACAACGTCTCTTAGTCCATCGCTTTTTTGGTCAAAATTTTGGTCAAATATTTTTAAAAAAGCGACGGACAAAGAGACGTTGTCCGTCGCTTTTCTTAAAATATCTTTGACCCATCAGGATTTTCTTATTTTCTTTTCTCTCTTCTCTCTTCTTCTCTCTTCACTCTTATTCTCTCCCTTCTCTCTATCAATCTCCCTCCACCGGCTGCCGCCTCCACCGCTGCCGTCGCTGCCCTTGCCTATCGCCGTCAGTCGTCGTCCGTCACCTCCCATCGTTGCCTCTCCTCTTTGTTAAGGTTGGTATTTAATTTTAGGTTTTTTTTTCAATTCTAGTGATTATAGTTGATTGTTAGTTTAGTATATTATTGTTTTAAGTTTGTGGGGTTGTGTTATTGTTAATTTGTATTTGATTATTGTTTAGTTAGGTTAGAGAATTGGAGATTTTTTATTTTAGGGTTTTCTTTTAAATTGGGTATTGTAATTAGTGAATGAATTAGGGTTTTTTGATTTTAGGACTTGTTTGAACTTGAGAATATGTAATTTGATTGTGAATTGAATTTTTTTTTTAATTTGATTGATTATATTGTTAGTTAGTAAAGTGTTACTTTGAAGTTAGAAATTAATAATTCAAGTGTATATGATGAATGTTTGAATGTCATGACTATATAGTGATGAATGTTTGAATGTCATGAATATATATTGATCGATGAGTTTTTTTTGAATTAGAACTTGAATATATAACTAATTGTTGGATTAGAAGTTTATATATAACTAGATATGAACTTGAATTTAGAACTTGAAGTTGAACTTGAACTTGTAACTTGAATATAACTAATTAATTCTTGGATTAGAAGTTTATATATAACTAATTTTAGAAATTGGATATGAATTATTGAATTTAATTAGAACTTGAATTTTTGTAGAATTTTAGAACTTTAATTAGGTTGTGAACCTTAGAAATTTTGAATTATTGTAGGATTTTAGAGCTTTAATTAGGTTGTGAACTT